GTATATAGAGGGTCGCGACGATTTCTTATCCTCACCTTTGTCTCTTTCTTTCGCATTTTCTTGATCTTTGTTATTCCTCCCAGTTTTTGTCGCGTAATAGGTATAGTTTTCTTACAGATTCGGCGCGCCTATAGTTGAAGATGTACGCAAACCTCCGGATGTGCTCGATAATTCGAAGTGGTGTACAACTGATTGCAATGTCCCTTGTCGCGGCTCGGGGTGCTGAGTCGTATCCCACCGCTGACGACCAGTTGTCGTGATCCCACCGCTGATCACCAGTTGTTGTGATCCCGGGGTGCTGTGGTAGCGTGGTGTAGCTTCGGGTTGAGGAAACGACCGCTTACAAGATGGGGATACGAAAAACAAACAAGGTTTATGGCACTATTTACAAATATTTACAGCATGGGGTTAAGAGTTCACAAACCACGAGCGTGGTGGTTAAACCTTTACTTGGTTCAGAGCGACGTCCTGCACTCTGCGGCGCCGTTATAAGCCCTGTCGGGCTCCTCCTTCTTCAGTGGAACACCAATCACACACACACACACAACAGGTGAGGGGTACGAGCATGCACGGCGCACGTGAACATCCAATTTCGAGTCAAGATCACTGCACTTAAAGGTGGCGCCAGAGAGGCTCTTGCTCGTCGTGTATGTCGCTGGTCGGGGTTCCAAGCTTCGGACAGCAGGCATCAAACGGTCCGCCAATCTGTCCGCTCAATTAGCAGGGCACTTTGTGGCGGCGGTCGCCGTTTCTTCAAAGGAATACTCTGTCTTTGTTGTCCCCTCTGGAACGGCTTACCGCTTCGTGGCGACGTGACGTCTCATCCGCCGGCTAGCAGGGACAATACCTGGCGGGCATGGCTACCTCTTTGAGGATTAAAAGAGCGCCGCTCCCCCGTCATTTCTGGACGCTGGTTCCGAGAAAACTGGGTTCTAGGCGTGGGAACGCTGCCCGGCTACGCTTTTCAGCGACAGCATGGCGCCTACCGATGGCGGTCATAACAGCTTCCCCCTCGCCAGATGAGTCACGGAGGGCAGCGGTCAACACTGCTGCTCGCAGGGACGACGAAAGGGTCCGTAGTTGAATGCCAGAAACTGGCCTTCGCTTGTGGCATGGTCCGGGTAATTGCCGAATCTTCGACACTGTTTCTGAAACTCGACCACAGGCACAAGCAAGTACTCGGCCCCCTTCGAACAACCAAGCCAAAAGAGGGATGGCAAACCAATTTTCTTTACTAGCTTTAACAAAAAGCTCACACTCAAAACTCTCAGGATTCACTTGTGCTGAGAAATCAAACGTGCTATCTTAAACCTTCTCATAATAAGATGCACGACAAAAAAAAACTAAAATATCAATTTTGATACATAAAGAGCACCCCAGAATGGCTTAGAAAGAGCGGCTGAGCGCGTCAGCGTTTCCATTCAATTTGCCCTTTTTTTACCTAATGTCAAAATGATATTTTTTTTTCCTTTAAGAATCAAGCTCCGCCTCACAAGGCGACTGTTCTTCGAGGTCATGGTTTGCAGCCAAGGGGACAATGGTCTGTATCTACTTTAAATTTAGCCCATCTGAGATAACACTGCCACTGATGAATGCTCTACACAATGCAGGCGCACTCCTTTCCTGAAGCGCAGTACGTTATCTCACGAGAGCCCAAATTCTGGCTCAAGTAGAACGCATCAGACTCGTTGCCACTGTCGTCGAGACATATAACGGCAGCCTCCTTCTTTTTGTCGCTGACTACTTACACGGCTCTGTCCCGCTGAGAGCATCGGTTCGGTTCCGGACTCAGCGAGCGCTAAGATTGTCCTAAAGTCCGTTTTTGTTTACGTGTACCAATAATTGTCTACTACTGATACAGTAAGCTATCTAGCTTTCCTAAAACTTTTGCCTAAGTTGTGGACAAAAATACTGTTCGTTCACTCAACCTGAGAAAACGTTTACCGTTCCGCTCACTTGATCAATTGTCTTCAAAGAAAACCAACAAAACAGTGACAAACACTTCCTTCTAGAAGGTTGGTTTGGTTGAAGCAAACTGCCTTTGCTAATGCCTCTGAGTAAATCTCACTGGGCTCTCCTGAGCCTTCAATTACTCTCATTTCTAAGCATTGCAAAATACATGGCGCTATTAACCAAACGCTTAATCCCTCACACTTTGTCTTTCTTACGTTACGTTGTAACACACCGTGTACAACGCAAAAATAACCATAGGTAAAAACACCTGAAAAGCACCTCACAACAATCGCGAAGGTTTTTATAAAACCGTGTGCCAATGGCTCTCAAGTCTCATAACGCGCAACGACAACTGCACTGTGTTGCGCCAAACTTAACCATTTTACGAAATCATCTGGTCTATGTTAATATCTTCTTCCCTAAATGCCAATTCACGCCACATCCACATGACAGTAAAGGCATACGATATTAAACTAAACCTTTGAAACACTAAAAAAACAACAATTCTTTTAGTTTTTACCTTCTCGGTATATTCGTACAAATGATTAATGGACTTCAATTTTCAGCCTTTAGTTCGGCGGTTTTCCTTTTCAAAAATTTACTCCGCATCATGTGACTTACAAACTTAAACAGACCAATATGCATCTCCAATTCAATAATCAGTAGCCATACTTAACACGCACGTGCAACCATTGTTAAAACTGACCGCCCCTTTTTCTCAACTAGATTCCTCTGAATCGCACCCGATGGGGTCGTGGTCCCGGCAGTTTCCGTTTCTTCAAAGGAATACTCTGTCTTTGTTGTCCCCTCTGGAACGGCTTACCGCTTCGTGGCGACGTGACGTCTCATCCGCCGGCTAGCAGGGACAATACCTGGCGGGCATGGCTACCTCTTTGAGGATTAAAAGAGCGCCGCTCCCCCGTCATTTCTGGACGCTGGTTCCGAGAAAACTGGGTTCTAGGCGTGGGAACGCTGCCCGGCTACGCTTTTCAGCGACAGCATGGCGCCTACCGATGGCGGTCATAACACCCTTTGGTCACGGAAAGACATTTGTGTGCGCAGTGTGTACAACTCGCTGTTGTGCTGTGCGCCTCTCCTCAGAGCAGTTCTTTTCAGGCGGTGTTCTTGTGCTCGTGTTCTTGCCGAATATCGGTTTTCGTCAATCCGAGCTTGTTCGCATATGCATACGTTCGCGTATGATACTTCTCGCAGACTGCGAGAAACAACGGTAGCACTGATTTGTCCGTGTGATCTTTAATATCCCGCTCTTCGCGCCGCGGTTCCCGAGATGTCACCTTTAACCCAGCAGAATTGTATTCCTTCGATCCCGACCTCTTGTGCGTCCTGAAATCCGATTGCGCACGCGTGGCAGTGTGTTTGTCCCTCGGCGCGAGCATACGCCTTGGCACCGAGTCGTTGGCACAGTGCCTCTTCTCTCCTCCTCGCTTCGAAGAGAATGGAAGTGGTGGGGCAGGTTCCATATAGGAGAGAGATCGTTCGTAGTGTTTGTTGGGGGAATTCCTCTCCACCTGCCGTTCCACTCGAGACGACGGAGCCGCACCAGCTGCGTTTCGTAAGTTCCGCGGCTGCAATCTGCACTGACCCTCCTCCCCCCTCTTTCTCTTCCTCGCTTGTCTTGGCGGTGCTGGCGCCGGAGCGTCTGGCGTAGCCTGGGTAGTCAGTTCCATGCAGCGTTGCGTAACCTACGACGTACATGGAACCGAAGTCGGTAGGGCGAGTGTATGTCAAGGTTGCCCTGATCCCGATGCTCGACGCAGCTTGCTCCAACTCCACGTCGGCTGCGCCGTCAAAAGCTGCGTACCTCGACCCTTTCTCCACCAACGGTCGGAATGGTAATGTTGCCTATCTCTTCACTATACGTCTTTATACCTTAGTTATCCAATTACAAGAAGGAACGAAGAAAATAATTTTTACGGCTTGGTTTAAATAAAGGTTCCTACATGTTGCCTCGCCATTTCTTATCTCACATAAGTGAGGACACTCTTAAAAATAAAAGAAAGTTTATTGCGGAACTAACGTCTAGCAACACTCGTTTTTTTTTTTTCCCACACTATCTCCCAGTGGAATGGGCTTCCACAGGAGATGTCGACTGCCGTACTGAAACACTGTTCAGACAGACTAATAGTTACATCTTTTTTTTTTCTGTTCTTGCTTTAATAATGCTTTCATGATTATTCTTTTTATATAGGAATATATTATTCTGTGTATTCCCCTTGCATTTCCTTCAGGTGGTGCAGGTAATTTGAATAAGTAACAGTCATATGTGTTAGTGACAACTGTGCAAGAACACAGCGCGAGGATCAGGAAGAGAATGAGTAAAACGAGATTGGCATTTTTCGTCCGGTGCATTTCGGCAGCATCGAAAAGGTTGTTTTTTTTTTTTTTTTCGCCAGAAATAACGACCGTACATGTTCCAAAATTCTTATTGCTGACCCTTTATAGTGTACTAAACTTTGAGTATTTATTGCAACTTCGAGTACAAGTAAACAGAAATAACAAAAGGAAGGATCTTTTTTTTTTCTTTTTGCGAACTGTCATGGTACAAGGTATCACAACCTGGTATGCCTTCATGGTGTATCAAGTCGCTCTAAATTCTACTACCTGGTCCTGAAACCTACAAATCCATCTTGCACGCAACTACGTCCGAGAGGTGAAATCGGGCCGGTGTTCCGAGCTTTTAATTTCGTTCGCCCACCCTCGTGTTGCGTGTTTGCTTACCGTTCCTCGCGCACTCCTGCTCCGCTTCTGGCTTTCTGTCTACCGTCATCCACCCACGCCCTCTCGGCATCCTCCTCCCCCACCCGATTTGACTGTCTCCTACGTCGTCTGTGAAAGGCTGTACGTCACCGACCCTCCCCAGCACTCCCTTGTTGTGCTCTCTCCGTCTCCGCGTTCGCCTCATGTGAACGGCAATGCGCACATCCATCTTCTGGCGTCGGCTGGCGACTTCCCCGCCCTTTTGTATATATTTGCTTTCTATACTGCGGAAACGCGTGCTCTGACTTCACTCGCTGCGTGCTACACTATCGGCGCCGCTTCGTTGTTTACGCGAACACACCGTGTTACCACTGGAAGTGTTTTCTTGTATCGCGCGTTCTCTTTTTATTCTGCGCAAGCGGCTGTCTTGGCGAACACCCTCTCGGAGCTCTGTAGGAGGCTTTCAGTGTCACAGAGAACAACACGGTGTCGGGATTACAGTAAGGTGGCCTCTACCCGTCTGTCTGGGTCGTCGCACCAGACGAGCGAGAAGAGTGTTGCTCGTAAGAGCCCCATCGCGTGAAGACCTCTTCGAAGCTTCAGGAATTCGGCTGTTACTTGAGTATCTCCGAAGAGCATCCGCCGGGGCAGTAGCCTTTTTAAGGCTGTTGGTGATTGGAAAACCTCGCTTCACTGATTGACTCCGGCTTTGAGCTTCGCGTCGCTGTTACGGCGCGGGACACTTGTACTGTGCCTGAGAAACTGTTGCAGCAGTTGGTTATTTCGCGGAGTCGTGGTTTCGAAACTGTGTTGGCTTTCAAAAAGTTGTTCGTTCCACGAAACGAGTGAACCGACGTACGCGGCCTCAACCCTTCGTCGCAGTTTCTCTTCGTGTTTTACAGACTGTGTCTGGGAAATTGTTAGGTATTGTTAGTTTCGGTTGTTTGCGTAACCGTCGCGAGTGACGTGCGCCCGCGTGGCGTGGTGGACGGGACGCTGCAGCGATGGATCTGGACCGCATCGTGCCCGCGCGTAGCGCCAGCCCCACGGTGCACTTGGCGTACCAGTGCCTCGAGGGAATCATCCAGAACAGGGACCACGTGTGGAGCCTCCTGGGAAAGGTACGCTGCCGCCGTGCCTATTGAATGTTGTAGTGTAGGGAGTGTACATGTACATCTGAGAAATGACTTATGCGGAATTCCGCCGGGCTGGGTATAATGCCCAATTTATGTCTGTGGTTGAGTATGATCAGTAATGGTGCACCAATGTGCTTGCCCGCTGCAAAGGTCCTCATTGTCACCATCACGGGCCCTTTGGTTCGCGATTTGGGGAAATCCTGATCGAGTTTCTCGATCGATCGTAATTGACTCCTATATACGCAAGCTGCTGAGGGAGCCAGTCTTTGCCAGTCATGTGATCTCGATCTAGCTCAAATAGTATTATCCGCGTGCTGTGTATGCCAGTATATAAAGTAAGGAAAAAAAAAAGAATGTTCTCTTTGCACCATTCACATTTGACCCCGCACGAATAATCCCTTCCCTTTCGTTAGTCAATGAGTATGTTTAACTTCGAGTGCGAGGCTCGTATATAATTAGCTCACTGTCTAAACGCACACTCGTGGACACATGAAACGAGAACAAGGATTCGCAAAGCGGAACAGCTTCAACGACTTCTTACCTAAAACAACCTGCAAGTGTACCAATAAAACGCTATCATGAACTGTGCATCGGTCGCAACGAATGGATATATAGCTTGTTTCTTTCTCTGTGTGTATTGCCGCCAAGCTGCTTCAATATGTCAAGTGGCATATGTTACGTACGTGTATGGACTTGTGTGTGTGCTGCTCGTTCCCACAAGTATATTATAGCCGAACAACATCGACTGTCGAGCAATATCCTTTCTTTCTTTCTTTCTTTCTTTCTTTCTTTCTTTCTTTCTTTCTTTCTTTCTTTCTTTCTTTCTTTCTTTCTTTCTTTCCTTCTTTCTTTCTTTCTTTCTTTCCTTTATCGTTGTCCTCCATATCTGAAAAAATGCCAGCTCTGATTGTTTTCATGCATCGCCTCTGCTACGGCATTCGCCTTCGTGGAATATTAGTTCTTTCGTTATCGATTCAATCGTGGCGCTGTCTGTGCAGTCCTTGTGAGCAGCCGTCTCTCCCTCTCTTTTTCTCCCTGTGCCTCTCAGACCTGTCGTTGTGATCGAGTAGCTGTGTACTTGCGTGACATTCGTTCGCACTGCGTGGTCGTTACGTTGCGGCCGCTGTCAATCTTGCTCCAAAAGCGACATTATACTACTAAGCGATGTCGACTTCGGGAAAAATGCATTCGCGCAGCTGCTTAGACCGTGTTAGCCGTCGCATTTATTCCATGACGTACATTGGGTATATGGCGCGGTAATTTAGCGGGAGTCAGGCTTTGTGTATAGCCGAATGGACTGCTGGTATATACTCGGCTGCTGACCCGCAGGTCGCGGGATCGAATCCCGGCTGCGGCGGCTGCATTTCCGGAGCCCTCCACTACGGCGTCTCTCATAATCATCCACATATCATCGACAGCTGCTATATATATATATATATATATATATATATATATATATATATATATATATATATATATATATATATATATATATGTATAATCGGCGTTCTGAGACAACAGGAAATCTAGTTACGGGAAACTGCAATCTTATCGCGACTTTCGACGTGATCGATCCGCGTTTTCTTCAGAGACCATAGTCTTGACACGCTTGAACACAGATATTTGGTCTGTCTATCTGTCTTTTCGTTTGTCACATGATTCAGTCACCCGGCTGAAGTTTAAGCACTTGCCCAACGCCCAGCAGACATCTTGGTTCATACTAGTGAACATTGTCGATCAAAAAGCAAATATAACGTATCTGAGGCGCAACACCAATACCTAAGTATTGAGTGGTGTGTTCCTTTACTCGAAGATACATATATAGATACATAACTCTAAGGACCCTAGTGTTTGTTGCGCTGAAAATGTGGCGCTGCACGAAACAAGGCCGGCAGGAGATATATCGTCTCTCGACGACGCGACATTCGCAGCGCTGAACGAATGTAGGAGACAAATTTTTATTTTGTTTAATGTATGTGTGGCTTTAGGTGCTTGTTGGCGATTTCATGGTCGACAATTAGCATTACTTCAATGCAATGTCATGAGTGACTCGCAAGTTACGGCGATACCTTTCGTCAACTCGTATCCCTATCATAGGGCCCTGAAAGCCTGCAGTGTGAGCACGCGATGAATAATTATCATTGGGGAGATCGTGAGCTCCTGGCCTTACGTTCGTCTTCAAGCTTCTTCGCTTTCCTCACCGAGGATTATGGTGAGTTGTGTTGATGGAACGAGTGAAGAAAAAGGCTAATCTGAATTAGCCCTGCATGATCGCGGTAGAAAGCGAACATCGCTCTCAAGAAAAGCGACGGTCAAGATTTAAATAAGCTTTCTCTGACTGCATTTCAGTCATTTGCGCTGTGTCAGATTGAGCTGTGTGAGTTGTTAGTGGTAATGTAGTATTTTTATTTTATTTCCTTGTTTTTTACATATATATATATGGGTTTGGGATGTTAAACCCCACATATCAATCAATTAAATATATATGTGCTTCTACGGATGTCAAATCACTTAACGGAGCGTGCTGTAATAGAGACCTCAAAGTTAGATCGCGTTGAAGTTATCTATAAGCGTACTCGATGGGAGTTACTCATATCGCATATGCAGGCCTCGATCTGAGTATCCGCAGCCATGCGGCTGAGATATCTGATTTAAAACCTGATTGGCAATCTGAGCACTGTAGAAGGTGTACACAGATATATTACATGTTCGCTCCCAGGTGAGCGTGACGCCCACCAACAGAGTTAAACGTTTACAGCAAGTTGTTCGATGAAAAAAGTTGAATGTAAACATAGTTTGATATGTCAGTCATCGGAAAGATTGCGTCATTAATTTAGTACATTTTGCGCAGGGAAATGCAGATTGCATGTCCTATATTTATACGCTCACGCTAAAGAATTTCTTCCAGGTGGTCTAAATTCCCAGAGCCTAGCTTCTACTACGGGTCTCTCATATGGTGATTTTGTGGCGTTAAACTCCACTTATCAATCAATCAATCAATCAATCAATCAATCAATCAATCAATCAATCTAGTTATCAATATATTTATTTATTTATTTATTTATTTATTTATTTATTTATTTATTTATTTATTTATTTATACGTTCGTACTCGTCCCCCTTTTCTTGTTTTATAAAGGGCCCAAGCCATATATGAAAGTAATCAGTAGAAAATTGCGGCTTCCGGCGTTGTCGTGAACACGAATGGTATCAGGAGTCTTCTGACGATCCTAATGATTAGAAGTAGAAATTGAATTCAATTGAAACTGACCCTAAATAGAAAACAATTTTGCTCTTGAGTTATATAAAAGGGAAATGGTGAATGCTTGTTTATTCAATGATCAGTTGGAATACGCATGTATGAATGTGATCATAGGCGTCGGTAATGTTTCCCACAGAGCCTCGACGTGACTGTTTTTCGAAAGCGTATCCCGTACACCCTAGACTCATCCCCTGTGGATTGCCCTCAGCGCACTGTGGAGTGCCCTCTCGTGTGCGCTAGCGTCGCTTTTTATAAGTCACTGCGCGTGCATCGGGGGAACCGATGGTCAGTTGTGCCCCCACTGGACTTTCGGGACACACTCGACCCAGTTAGCTCGCCGGCGTTGTCAGTGAACCTGGTCATCTTTTACGGTCGCCAGCAAAACGTTGTTGCCGGAATTAGCTCTCAATTCGTGCGTGTCTTTCCTCGTCGTGGTTTGTAAACCGTCGCTATCTGCTCCTTCTTTTTCTAATCTATACTGCGTTAGCGTTTATAGTTGGTCTAATGTTTCTCAATGTGAGATTGATTGATGTATTTCCGTACTCTTTTTCTCTGTCTCTATTTGTAATGCGTGGCCGTTTACCTTCAACAGAAACGTCAGATCTTCTCCGGACGATGTTACTAATAAAAAAGTGGCAATGCCTCTCCCTTACGGTTCACAGTTTATAGGTAATCAAGTATTAAAGGACGCCTTGTTACCCGCGATATGAACGTATACAAACCACAAAAAAAAAAATAGACACGAACGAATGCCAAAAATAAGCGAGCATACCGCAAATAATGTGCATATGCAGCGTGAAATAATCGGAGCGTTGCATCGTAGAGATGGTTTGTGCTCGCTAATCGTCGCCAGGACCGACGCGTACTTAGAGACGGCTGAGCCGGAGCGACGTTTTCACGTCGTAGCTGCCCAGCTCTCACGTGACGGAATTCGCGCGTGACGTCACGGCGCAGCGTACCCCTCTGACGAACAAAAAGAGACGCCACGCCACAGCTTCGTAAATGACCCCACATTAAACTAGTTTATTCATGGTTCGTGGTGTTGTCTAGGGCTGCAGCCAATACTCTTTCTCTACTACCCCGACTTCCAAGACGCTAACGCTGGAACAAAATAGCCGAAAAGGTCGTGTTAGTGTTAGCGTACGGGATGCGAGACGAACCTACATATCTTAGAAAGGGTGCTCGCGTGCCCCACAGCAAGTATGAAGACGAAACAGCTTCTGGGAAACGGACGTTTATGATGTGTGTTCTCGTTGTCTCTTTCTCTTCTGCTGGGTCTCGCGTGGGTGCCTGCTATCCTCGATTCGCGATGGATCGATACTTCTTTCGTATCGCAGAGGGTGCATGCGGCCGCGAAACGAGCAACAAGACGACACACAAATCGCAAAACTACCAACAGGAGTCTGTTGTTGCAGACGACGTTCGCACAAAACGCCTGCTTGCATCGAATGTACAACATTGTAGTCTGAAACGTTGAGTTCCTGTTGGTGGTTTTGCTATTTGCGTGTCGCCTTGTTCGCTTTGTGATCGATACCCTCTGTGATCCTGAAGACCGTGGGCTAACAGTTCCAGATATGCCCACTATCTTCTTTGTTTTTCTCCAGCGCAGTGGTTCTCGGTGACTGATGTTTCGGGGCGCCATTGTGGACCTGTGGAAATTATGATGCACCCTTGAAGTGAGAGCAAATAGTGTGTGTGTGTGTGGGGGGGGGGGGGGGTCAATC